TATAGACTCTACGGTGGCTAACCGCTAAGTGAGTTTTTGCACTAAATATTAATTTATTTATTGATTATCAGCGAAATTTCTCATTTGCACATAGCAGAGACAATACAAATAAAAGCGTAACAATAAGATTTTTGGAAGAGTGCAAGATATGTACTAACCAAATATGTATGGTGCACTTAATTGACCACGTGTGTCCGTTGCGTCCGTAAAAGGCAAGTTCGACAACCTCAAAAGATAACGGAGAACACGAACAATTAACACACATCGATTGTTTCCAATTTAAAGGTTGATGGATTCAATTTTTGTACATTTTTTATTACTGCTTCATATCTTATATCAAATCGAATAGTCACTGCCAACGCGCTTCAATATTTCTGCATTCTATTAGATGAGGTGAACGTCGTAAACAGAAGCTCGGTTATAAATTTAATAGTATGACATGTTTATTGGTCTGTCATGAAGTATTCCAGTCTGTACTTAGGATAAACTCAATAAAATGATGGAACTGATGAGATGGTACATAAAAGATATCATTTTACAGACGATGATTTACTTTATGATGTGGAATATCACAATGAGTGCGTTTATAGAGCATTAGCTTATTATTTACGACAAGCCACGCAGAAAGATTGCGAAAAAAAGTTTTCAGCCAGTTAAAATTCATTAAAACGATTATTTAAAATACAAAGGTTCTACTTTCAAATTTGTTTTCACAATTTTTTACGAGCTAAATTGAATTAGGTATTACCGCTTTCATTGAAATATTGACTTGCATCAAGAAAAATTTTAGGCGATGATTTTTACGGCCCTTCTAAGGTAACCGTGTACCGGTGGTATAACAAATTTCAGTACGTTCAGCTTACTTAGAAATATGAAAAAAGAAGTTGTAGCCGCTTGACAGCTGTTACGTAAGTAAACGTGCTAGTAATATCAACTTGATTGAGCGCATATTGCAAATTAGATTTCGGATTTAAGCAAACGATTTTATGCGCATACCTTCACATGAGGAGGATAGTTTAGCGTTGCGTGCAACACAACCTCACTCAGATGTAAGCCCGCGTGGTATGGTGCCGTGACATGATTACTAAGCTGAAGCAAACCCATTTCGACGTGTGTACGCAATTATTACATATCTTATTAAGGTAATGCATGTGGGATTTATCAATACAACCCAGAAACAAAGCGCCAGTAAACGGTTTAGCCTAAGATGTAATAATTATATTCTTTCGTTTAGCTGTTTCGAAATGCACCAACGCCTACCAAAGTGAAGCGATCGAGAAGCGCAGTGAATATTTTGATTGTTAGTTTTTTCACTTTAACAGGGCATCGAGGAAATCGAAGTTGCATTAATGATGAATTATATACTACCAACTGCTTGCCAGAAGAGTTCACTGCTGTAAGCAACAAACATCTAAGCACTAGCTTCACTGTGAAAACACGTCCGAGCATTCAGTGTTTAAAACAGTTTTAAAATGAAAAATCTTCTGAAAGAAATACAGTTTTTATCGCCAATAGATGCGTCAGCAGCGTTCGAGTAGTTCGTTGAAAAAGTATTTCGGGTAAATTGGTAGCTACTCGTTGGTAGGGTAGCTGGTGGAAAGTTCGGGAAAAGATTTAGTTATAAATAAAAACTTGAATAATTTCGCCAAACTTCCTGGATGGCCCTCGTATTTGAAATTATTATTAATGGTAAATGAGTGATTTTTTTTTGAAAACCATTTAGTGCATGTTATTTATAAAATAAAAATAAAACACTACAGTGTTTAGCAATAAGGTAAACATTGATGAACAAATATCCTAGAGTTATATCCGTACACACAGTACGTAATGGTAGGCGTAACGATATATTTAGGGAATCCGTACAATCGTACAAACGCTTTTTAGTCTGCAGCTGGACAATAGGCCCTTCTACAAAGAAACAGCTGTCATTCATGAGCGATGAACTGTTGATCGTGTCGCTACTCGTTACCCCTCGTCGGCAGTTGGAGTATTCTGCGGATTCTATTGTCGGACGCCACGAGCCTAAAGTCTTTATGGTTTTAATGGGACATTGAATTGCATTATGCCGCAATTGTACCACACTGCAATGTATGCCATTATATAATATTACTCTGAGACCGATAAAACTGTTAAAGCCTCTTGGATAACAGCACCTAGAATACCGAAAACGGCAATATACAATCAAATTGAACATTAAGCGGTTTTTAGACCCTTGTGTTTATTTTTTATTGGATAAGGGTGACAAACGAACACACAGTCCACCTGATGTGTGTAAGTGGTTTCTATGGTCCATAGACATCTACATTTATCCTCGATTAGGAATCAAAATGCAGATGCGTTGTCACCCGTGAGGACTAAGATGGAATGCCTCGGTTTCCGGTAAAGAGGGTCTCCGGTTCTCTACACTCACCATACGAAACACAACAGCATTAAGCTGCTATTTTACGCTGGTATTCTGTGAGTACGTGATCCTTCCCCGGTCGAGCTGACCCATTCGTGTTACAACTATACCAGAAATATAGCTGCAGCATGGCTCTACCACGTATAAAACGTGGTGACTTGTTCAGACTTCAGCAAAAACCGTATACAACAAAATTGTCAACGTACACTTAGTTACACTAGTAAGAAATTTTTAAGCAACCTTATTATAAATAGAATAAGGGTGACAAACGAGCGAAGGTCATCAGGTGGACCTTCGCTCGTTTGTCACCCTTATTAAGGTAAGGCTTATCCTCGATTACACATCAAAATGGAGATGAGTTGTCACTCCTGAAGAATAAAATACGCAGTAGGCAGGAGTGTTATCGGGCCCGGGCTGAGGCTTCGGCGGCTTGAGATGTAAACACCAGCATGCTTAAAAATAAGTATAATTTCGCCCCCAGGTCCTTCAAAAGAGTAATTGCCAAGGCAAAGTATGAGCACATTGGCAGAATTGGCGAGAAATTAGTTCGCCTTCCTTCGGGAACCCGTTCATTCTGGTCTCTCGCCAAGGCTGTTCAAGGGAATTTCTGTAAGCCATCACCACCATCTCTGCACAGGAAGGATGACTCACTGGCCCACGCCGCAAAAGAGAAAGTCGACCTTTTAGGCTCTCTTTTTGCGTCAACCTTTAAAAGATTTACCGCATTTACCGCAGAAAAGAATCCGTTTGTTGTATCTCTTCAGTTTCAAGGCACTCCCCTTGTTGCCTTGGCCAGTATCGGAATCCTCGGCGTCGACATATCGAGTGACGTGCAGTTTCGTGGTCACTTGGAAGAGAAGACCAAATTGGCCTCTAAAAAGATTGGCGTGCTCAGCAGAGCGGGACAGTATTTCATGCCAGCACACCGCCTGCAACTTCACAAGAGGCACGTCCGGTCTCACATGGAATACTGTTCCCATCTCTGGGCTGGAGCTTCCCAGTGCCAGCTCCTTCCATTTGACCGCATCCAGTGCAGAGCGGCTCGAATCGTCGACGACCGAGTCCTTTTCGATCGGCTCGATTCACTGGTGTTGTGAAGAGATGTTGCATCTCTTTGCATATTTTATCGCATCTACCACTAAGGAATTGTTCGGATTAATTCCAGCCGCTCAATTTCACCATCGGTAACGCGACAAAACTCGCGATACCATCCATACCATCTGGATGATTGGCGGTCCACAACTCCCTTGTGGAATCCCAAAACCACCAGCAATTTTTCCGGACCGATACAACTTAGTGACCTTCAATAAAAGAGCCTACTCCTTTTTCAAAAAGGCCGGCAACGTATCTACAATTTCCCTGCTGTTGCAGTTGTTCACGGGCGGCGGTAGTCAATTACCATCAGGGAGCCGCATGCTCGTTTGCCCTCTCTCCTATAAAAAATACGCCTCGTTTCCAGTAAAAATGGTCCCTTTACACTCACCATAAGAAACACACGAGACTTAAGCTGCTATTTTACGCTGATATTCCGTGAGAGCGTGGTCCTACCTCGATCGAGCCGATCTATTCATGCTACAACTAATATAGTTGCAGCGTGGATCTACCATGTATAATATATAACTAGAAAATCAGAAATTGAGTCGTTAAGATTTTATTTTGCATTGTTTTGTCTTCATATATTGGTTTCAGATGAAATTTGCATAGTTACTTGTTTCAACTGTTAAGAGATAATTGCCGCGTACAGTTTTAGTGCTTAATTGGGAATGGTCGCAGTTTAACCATTAGTGTTAACGCAAAACCCTTTGTCTGCTTTCCCTCTAATTGACACTTGTAGTTATAAATTGATTCAGAAATACAACTTTTGTAACACCTTTTGCCGTTTAGTTGCTAATTGCAGCTTTCCCTGTAGTACTTACTACAAACAAGAATTTCATTAAATATGATATGTTTTATATTGAGAGATAAAATATAAACCATTACAGAAACAACTTTGCTTTCTACACACCTGTAACATGATATCAATATTACTGCACCTACTACTAGATAGATGACTTTTTTCGTAGACAGAATGTGCGGATAATTTTTTGATAAAACCAATAACATTGATTTTTTTATCCTCTTTAGATGCCTTTCACATCTATTCATATTATGAATTAATTTTAAAGTATAATTATTATGCGAGTAGCATATTTAATAGATTCTTTCTCACAAAGTACAAAGTAGTTAGAATATTTTAATTCTTAATTATAACTTTATGGTAGAACATGGCGGTATATTTCTATTGCCGACTTTATTGAATAAACCTAATTTAAAAATTGTTAAATCTTCACGGTAAAATAATAACTTATATTTTTCTACCGACTTCAAAAAGGAGCCGGTACACAATTCGGCTGTATGTTTTTTATGTGTGTTGTTACCTCATAACTTTTTACTGGGTGATCCGATTTCGATGATTCTCTTTTGATTTGAAAGCCGGTGCTTCACATGTGGTCCCATATAAATTTGATCAAGGTCTGGCCAATAGTTTTTGTGTTATTCTTAATAATTTATATTGAAGTCGGTTGTACAAAATTTTTAATTTTTAATTATTTTGTTACAGCTATCGTCGTACGATACCTGACAAAGCGGTATATTGGAGAATATAGCTCCACTGGCGGTGAGTATAACTGTTGTAATTCATATTGCTATTGTTTTGGCATTTGACATAACTTATAATAAGTATTCGAGATTGTATGGGCATAATTATTAGTAATATGCGGCAGGCAGATATTAATAGGTTCGATGATGGGCCCTCCAAGAGGGTTGCTGTTTCTAATGCCAAGCTCTGGATGCCATTGTAAGAGTTTATTTGTGACTATTGGCAACTGTATTGGCGAAGCGGATTGCCAAGGCTGAGCGACGCCGGCGCCCGATATCATACGGCCGTTGACTTTACGTAAAAATTTTAAATGAAAAACAACGAGATTACGATAATTTATTTCATATTGAATCAATGTCAATTATCATTTTATTATTTTTATTACATAAATATTTGTGTTTATGGTTAGTTGTAAATAAAGTAACCAAAAAGAAAAATATTGGAATACAATTTAAGTGATCTCAGATCATTACTATTAACGCCCTGTTCCTTTTGTTTTATCTGTTGTTGCTTATATAATACTATGGACTTGTACAGTAACTGTTAAGAGAAAATAAACCTTATCCCAAGTCCAATAATTATTACTCATTAGAGTCATCACAATTAAGATTGATATTCATCTCAACAATTGCATCCACGACGAAAACTTCTGCATATAATACGCTGAAGTCAACTGTGCAAAATATATCAACAGTGTTCTAGCCTACTCGTGCCCGATATAAGCTTCCAAGAAAAGATATGAATAGGGTTGAAATGCGGTGTCAGTGGTATGAGAATAACCACAATACAACCAGACTAACAATTTGTGTTATACAAACATAAATAATGTTGGCTTCGTCTGAGAATTCAGCCCAGGACCAGTGATCGGTAATCTATAAGTACGAATAAATAAAATTGAAGTGTCTGTTTGTAATGTCAAAATAACAGCTTTTTACTAAATGCATATGAAAGTATATACGGTACATATAACAAAAAACGCAAGTTTTTAAATTTTTGTCTGTCTTGTCTGCTTGTTCCGGCCAATTTTCAAAATGGCAGAACCGATTTTGATTGGACTTTCATTGGCAGATAACTGATGTTATAATGAGGAACTTAGGCTACTTTAATTTTAGAAATATAATAAGATACCGCGAAAAAAATTAAAACCCTAAATTACACGCGGGCGAAGTTGCGAGCAACAGCTAGTATTTAATACCCGCTGACCTTCTTGCTAGTTCTTACCAGTATAGGGGTATTTTCCGAACCAGTGGTAAATAAAAAAATTTACATTCAAAAAGTATTTAGTAATAATCTATATCAATTAAAATTGTTCTATTTTATTCTCTTCTGTTCTATTCTATTTTATTCTACACTATTCTATTCAATCCCATCTAACCCTTTCCTATACTATTCTATTCTATTCTAATGTATTCTATTCTTACAACCAGGCCACGCTATTGTCCTAGAGTCTGTAATGTACTGAAGGTATGAATTGTTTTGCAGATTTCTTATATCAACATCGGGTTGCATTTGACGGAGTCACATCAGAAGTAGAAGTTTTGGATACATGTGGTTGTGCGGTAAGCATTTTGATATGCTGTTTAATTACGTTTATTGAAATATATTTTTCTTTTTAAATTAATTTTTAATTTCTTAAATAGAAACGAGGATGTCTGGCGGAACACCTTCGTTGGGGCGACGCTTTCGTTGTGGTTTACTCAGTTTGCGATCGACGCTCATTCTTGGCAGCATCCGAGTTGCTTTCTCTATTAGAGCGAACAAGGCTTCCTAGTTGTGCTGCTGTGACATTACTCGGGAACAAGAGAGATTTAGAACATGCGAGGTTAGTAAGATATTATGAATAATGAAACTAATATTTTAACGATGATATGAATATAATATATTTTACAATGAATAGCAATATAGCGGCAAAACTACGCACAGTCATCTATTATTTATTTAAGTAAAATGTAAAAAACAGCAAGTTAAAATTGTATCAGTTACAAAACAAAAATCAAATCCACCAAGAGCTGGAAGGCAGTTGAGGTAGTTTTGAAAGGGTTTACGAAAAAATATCATTTTACAGTGATATTTCGTGTAAAAGATATATGAAATAAATGTTTTTGGGAATAACCGACTATAGGGTTGTCGGTCAGAGGTTAATGAAAATAATATTAATCAGGGTCAAATTATAACAGGGTTGTCAAAGCTGAGGAGGGTCAGGAGCTGTCGCTGCGGTTCGGGTGCCAGTTCTACGAGGTGTCGGCGGCGGAGTCGAGCGCGGGCGCGGCGCTGGCGTTCCACGCGCTGCTGCGGGAGGCGCGCGCGCTGGCGCTGCTGCTGCCCGCACCGCGCCGCAAGCTCGCTGCCTACTCCGTCTCCAAGGTACGTTACACGCCTTACAATATTGTCGCGTTCCTCGCGCCGCAGCCAGCGCCATGCTGTGAGCTCTCCGCCTATACTCTTTCTAAGATCCAAATGAACCATTTAACACATCGTTTTGTACGTGATATGCCCGCACACCATAAGCTCGTTGTATACTCCGTCTCTAAGGTACGTCATACTACTTTTAACACTTTCTCATTCGTAGAATGAGAGAAGTTGTGTGACACAAGATCGCGGCATATTTCCACCCCAAGGTAACTCACGCAACAACGCACGCACGTACAAAACTATCCATCTCATTTCAGGTCCTACCGTTGTCTGTGCTGCACCGCAAGCCTACTCAATCGTCAAGACGTCACAAACCCTATAACACTAGTAGTTACCTAGTTCACTCATCAGAGCTTTATCTTCTTTCCTTCGTCTCTAGTACTAACAGTATTAAGTACAAAAGGAGCAGTGCGCACTTTTGGGTTGAATCGTGGGTAATGCCAGTAGAAAATCTAAACCTAGGTTTACCTTATTTACTTACTAGAATTACCCATGAATTTTCGATAAAGTGCAAATAATTTATATAATATAGAAATACCCTAACTTAACAGGTGCTTTCGAATTTTGAAAAAGTTAAAAGAGTTCAAAGTTATTTTGATTATTATTCGGACATTACTAAACCTACTTTTAGCCAAAAGCAACCGCCTACACACAAGTAACCTATTATGTCTAAACGACCGAAATTGTTCAGTTAAATTAGGGACCTTCAAGAAAAGAGCCTACTCCTTTTTAAAAGGCCGGCAACACATCTGCAATTCCCCTGGTGTTGTAGTTGTTCATGGGCGGCGATAATCACTTACCATCAGGTGAGCCGCGTGCTTGTTAGTCCCCTCTCCTATAAAAAAAAGTAAAATTTTATATTTCTTACAGGTAATTGGCACGATTCTCGGTTTGAGCAACAAAAGTGTGAGGAAGAAACGACCATCGCTAAGCATATGATCTGCTTCATCATGGTTATTACTGGATCTTGTTGTTCACTCCGAGACAGGAGTTTCTTTTCTTTCTGCACGGCGCAGAAAACTTTGTTGGTGGAAAGCGGCTCACGCTTGGAAGTACGTAAATGAAGTGAGGTCAAAGTATTTTGGTACGAGGCTTATTAAAGATAGATTGAAATTTTCCTTTGCAAAAAATAATATTATTCAAATATATAGTTGTTAAGGAGTAATATTTAATCAAACTTATATGCATTATAAATGGTGCCTTTGCAATTTTCTAATAGTTGAATTATTTTTACCACAGTTAATACACGTTATGATGACTTTGTAACAATGTTCAGATTTGTCCCAATTTCTATTATTAAATGTTCAAGTTATATTATTTCTGAATTTTTGAAAGCTGTGAAATGATTATCTATCACTAAGTTATATAAGTATAAAAACGTTGTTAAAGTGTAAACTAAATATGATTGTGTCTTTGTGTTGTATTAAAATAGTTTAATGAACACAATTTTCAACCGACTTCCAAAAAAGGAGGAGGTTCTCAATTCGACTGTATTTTTTTGTGTGTTACCTCAGTACTTTTTTGTATGTAATTTTGATGATTCTTTCTTTATTTGAAATCTGGTGCTTTGTGCACATGAGTGTGGTCGCATATAAATTGATCAAGATCTGACCAGTGGTTTTTGAGTTATCCTTAATAATGGGTATTTAATTGACTGCGACTAATTTGATGATGTTCTCATTTTATTTATATTGAAGTCAGCTGTACACAATTTTTAATTTTACCACTTATTTTTAAATACGTCGTCTATTAAAAAGTTTAAGATGATTTCTGTGTATATGGCGTATTTATATTAATAGCTTCCATAGCACTTAACGATGAAATAAATAAGTTATTGCTTCATAGTAATAGTTGTGCAAATTATTGCATTATTTTGAAAATGAAAATAGCTTGATAAGGTTTTTTTTTTCAATATTTAATTTCAACCGACCTTACTCGAAGACTCAATTATCAAGAAGAAGTTCAATATCTTGTTAATTTTTTTTTGTTGTATGGTTGAAACAACATGTAAATAATGTAGTTACAATATAAATTGAATTTTATAAGTGTAAGAAAACTATTATCTTATTAATTAAACTCAAGTCCTAATGTTATCCCACCTAGATATGTTTCAGTCATTACCTTAATATTAATTTAAGATATCGTTTGTAATTTTATGACTTTTTTACCCGACATTTGGGTAATAAATCAGTGGACCATTTTACCTTTGTAAATGTTATTTGAAATGTTTAAAATATCATATTCGATTGCGTAATGGCGTTTTTTTGCCGACTTCCAGAAAGGAGACTGTGCTCAATTCGACTGTATGTTTTTTTTATGTGTGTTATCTCATAACTTTTTACTGGGTGAACCGATTTCGATGATTCTTTTTTTATTTAAAAGCTGGTACATGTCGTGTGGTCCCATATGAATTTGATCAAGGTTACGCCAATAGTTTTATAATTATTCTTAATAACTTATATTGAAGTCGGCTGTACAACATTTTTAATTTTAAATTATTATGATGTCATAAAACTGATCACTTGTATAATTTCTAAAAATACATATTGTATTATTACTTAAAATTTGTTTTTATTTATTTCTACCTTGCTTATGATTTGTATATTCGTTTTTCCTTTTAATATCATCTTTGTTTATTTTTTTAAAATTATCTGATCATATTAACAAAGACATGAAAATCATAAAAGAAATAATAATATTACATTTGATTTCATACAACAATATTCTTTATCAGGCCCTAACAGACCACGGCTCAATATTGGTCTCCCTCGTAACGGGAAAGACTTGATCGCCAAGCTTAGCAGACGGATTCGTAATTGCAAGTCCACATACGAGTACGAGATAGTTTACTTATGTAATGTTAGTAAGGTGTCAATGAGAGAGAGGCGTGTTGTTCTGACCAGGACTTTAGTTAGACGACTCTACCTACCTACCTACCTTAATACTAACATATTACAGATTGAATAAACCTACTTTTACGGATTCTATTGCGTTTAATTAACTTATTTTTATTAAATTCCCCCACGTTTCGGGTGTTTTACAGCACCCAGGTCACGGGGACGCAGGTGATTGACTTCCCGATGTCAGAGTTAACCCGGAGTACCTTCAGCTTTATTAATTATTAATTTTGGTCCGATCTACGCAGAATGAACTTACTGCGTTTAGTTTTAATTTTATTCAGGATCCCAAGCAGGTGGTAGTACCCAGCCCTCTCTGTTGAAATTAGGATGTTTTTAATTTCAATAGCCTCACGTATCATCCTTGGCAGAAATCGATGTTCTTTCACGAGAATTTGTGGTTTATCAAATCTAATGTAATGGCGGGGGTCGTCTAGCATTTTATCACAAACTGTAGACTTCCCGCAACGTTGATGTTTCACGTCAGCTATACGTTTTTTTACGTGGGTTTTGATACATCGTTTTGTTTGCCCTATATATGAGAGACTACATTTACAATCAAGTGTGTACACTCCCGCATCTTGTAGAGATATATTGCACTTGACGGATGGTAAGAACTGACTAATCTTCTTCGGTGGCTTGAAGAATGTTCTAATAGAAGCTCGATTCAAGATGTAGCCAATCTTGTCTGTGACACCTCTGACATCAAAGAGACCTATAAAACATCTTTGTCTGACATATTATGGTAGTACAGCAGGCACACACTCGACTGTAGCCGGCTTCACTCGGTCACTGTGACGTAGGCGCGGGATTTGAAGCTTGTCGTGCAGTAATATATCTACGAGTTATTTTGTAATAACCGGCCAAATTTGTAGAGAAGGTTCAAAATAAGTAATAAAGGCATGCCATGCGTGGTAATGCATTATTTTAAACTGATTTAACTGTGCACGCACACATTCGCTACGATCAATCAGTAGGCTAAAATGTAGTTGACAATAAATCACATTAAATTTGGGATAATTTCAAACAAAAGTAAAAGTAGAATAACTTTATTTATATTAAAGTGATTGTAGTACATGGGTTTGACATTACATTGTTTGTACTATCTATAAAATATGTCCTTAAATCTAGTGGATGTAACCCTGAACTCCTAGCTAGGTTACAGAATAACCTGTATTAAGGAGTAACAGTCTCAATCCCCATAACATTATGTATATAATAATTACATGCATACAGTTAAAAGTGCTACAATTATATCAACTTCTAGTTATACAAATTATAATTATAAAGTTGAGAAATGAATCCGTATGTATGTGTGTGCGTGTGTTTGTGCGTGTGTTTGTGTGTGTGTGTGTGCGTGTGCGTGTGCGTGTGCGTGCGCGTGTGCGTGTGTGTGCGCGTGTGTGCGTGTGTGTGTGTGTGTGTGTGTGTGTGTGTGTGTGTGTGTGTGTGTGTGTGTGTGTGTGTGTGCGTGATTGCGTGTTGATGTGTGTGTTTGTGTGAGAGAGTAGATAAATCAGGTTAGTTATTTTATAATCAGTCAGTTTAGGCATTTTTCTGTTTCGTCATAAGATGTGTTTTGAAGGTATGAGCGGACAGTCTTCTTGCAGTTATATAATGGTAACCCATATGTAGGATATTTTTCGCTTATTTACTTATTTTATTGTAAAGAAACGGACCCAGGAAATAAAAGAATCTTTTAGTGAATGATAAGCGAACTTGTGGAAGAGAACAAAGGAGAATGGGATTTTTGGGCCTGAAGTTAACCAATTGGTTTAAAAAATTGACCATATTTTTATGAAGTAAAATACGAAAAAGTAGCTCTTTTTACAATCTAGAATTCGAAAAAACAATAAAATAAGAAATAAGTTAGAAAATCAATTGTAGTGTATTATTTATGGCAATAAATTGGTTACCATAAAGAATACACTGGTGAAATCTTCGTTTCTGAACGTTATCTTCCAATAGAGGACTTCTTATTTTGAAACTTGACTTGACAGTTCAAATTTCAAACTATTTACTTAAAAGAAAAAGACAGATTTTCGATTCGATTTGAATAAAGCGCAATATAATCTATTCTCGATTAAATTGAGCATTTTAATATCTATTTTCAATTATTTTTCTATGTTACGGAGACAAAGAAATAATTGCATACATATCTACAAAATAATAATAAAAAATACTAAATATACAAGTAATCGATCTCAGATCGATATCCCTAATATGCACTTCACATAGTTGTTGTTTTAACTTTCGTTAATCGTTTCACCATTTCGTTTCATTATTAACCAACAGCATTTTTGCTGATTTGATACTGATCCCGCTTTTATATCTTGTAAGTAATTATAGTGAAAATTAGCCTGTTACAGTGTAATAATAGTGAAAAATCACTTTTTATAGTGTAGGTAATAGATAATCTCACTTTTAGTTATTCTACAATAACTTAGCTCCTAGATTGACAAATCTAGCCATATTTTCAACTATGAATTGTTTATATATACGCTTTCAGTTGGTCCTACTTTCATCTTGTTAACACTTGGGCCCAAGAATGTATGGAGACGTCTTCTTCTCCTTTGTCTTTTCGACACACAGTCCACCTGATGGTAAGCGGTTGCTGTGACCCATAGACGTCTACATCTACTCTCAATAAAGAATCAAATTGCAGATGCGTTGTCACCCTTGCGGACTGCCTGTTTGGATGGAATGCCTGTTTTCCAGTAAAAAGAGTTTCCGGTTCCCTACACTAACCATACGATACACAGCATTGTTGTGTAGCTTTTTTACCCTGGTATTCTGTGAGAACGTGGTTCTTCCCCGATCGAGCCGACCCATTAGTGCCACAACTATACTACTAATGTAGCTGCAGCATGGCTCTACCACGTATAATGATGAAGATCTCCTGGTCATCAACCGCGGCAATTACGTTTTAATGCCATCGAAAGTTTAAGCCTAGATAAATAACCAGGCAAGTAGTCCTGTACTGTACTTATTTAATGTAATGCATATGTGCATAATTGAAACAGTGTCTTCAACAGCGAATAA